GATTTGTATGTATTTGTGTCGTGCAGGCCTTAGTGTCGGCATGATACTAACATTCCAAACCCAGTTTCTATACAAAGGAATAGAATAGTTAGTACACAATATCGGATCTGATACCACGATAATAGTAAGTCATTTTTAACATTAAAGATGCATTGTGTGACTTTTCTGGTGGAGGCTCCGTCAAATTATTTTCTCCGTGGCGATGTTATTGCTTTGTCTGGAATGTTTTCACAGTATGACATTAACCTTTCCAAATCAGACCAAGTTACAGGTCAGATCTGTGGAGAGGCGACCCCACTCACAGTCAGGTTTTTAGGTATTTTTGAGCCATAAAACCACCTGTAATTGAATAAATGTAAGGTAGATCTGTTTAATGTCATACTGTGGAACATTCCAGGCAGAGAAATTAAATAGAACCAAGCATGTGATGGACTCTTAACCAAAAAGTTACATAATGCACCTTTAATGTTATGTTATGGGTCCATCAAATGCTTTTCTCCATGAAGATGTTATTGCTTTGTCTGGAATGTTTCGCAGTTTGGTATTAAACATTTCAATCTTAATGGAAACCAAACCAGACCAAGTTACAGGTCAGATCTGTGGAGAGGTGACCCTGCTCACAGTCAGAATGTCTGTTTTTCAAGGTATTATTTAACAATATCAGCCCTGGAATTGCCCGTTTCTCCTGAACTAAAGGTTAAAGGTAACAATTAACTGGAAAACTACCACTTCATGACATCACAAGGTGGAATTTTGTGGCATTTTGAGCTCTGGAAATGTACACAATAAATAATAAACGATTACTCAAATGTGTGTAAATGAAATATATGAATAAATAACAACTCCAGAGTGAATTTTATGTAATATAGAAGTTTAACGATGTTCACAATAAATAGCCCAAGATTTTTGTTTTGTTTGTTTGTTTTGTTACGTTTTGTTACGTTTTATATCCATTCACTGTTGCATCTGTTGCCCTGACTACAGATTAAAACATAAGGGATGGGACATATATCTATTTCTTCACCCCGTTCATACCAAGCTTAGTCATAATTGGTACACAATACAGAATCCAATACAGTGATAGTAGAATCTTGGTTTACCAAAATATATACTTATAAATACGTAGGTCTTCTTTCCTAGTTTTGTTTTGTCTGTACATGGATATTCTGCCATCTTGTATTCAGAGGGTTAAGCCAAATCAGTGTTAAACTTCACCGTAAATGTCTTAAATAACAGTACTTTCTTTTATACCACGTCTGTGTAATCCCTTATTCGCCTTGGTATGTGCTCTTATACTTTTTCTGATACCGCTCAAGATCATTTTAAAGCTATTCAGGAAAGGTTACATTTCTATCCTGTGAATGCGACCAATACTGGTAGGCCTATTTTTTTTTATTTGTTTGTTTTATTTGATAATTGAAGTTGCTTTGTTACATTCTCTAATAATTAAACTACTGCTAACTGAGGAACTAATAATGGTTTGGTCACAGCAGTTGGAATCGTAATCACCAATGATCACAATAAACCAGAGGTCGAACTTGCAAGTCGACTCGTGACTTAGACTCGAATCAGACTTGTGTCATTATTTGAGACTTGACTTGATAAAATGGACTAAGACTCAACTTGGACTTGAAGGTCAGTGAATTGGGACGTGACTTGGACTTGAGAAGACTTGAGAAGAATTATTTTTATTCTGACTGTAATGATTCATACTAAGACCTTGTCAAGACATTTAAAAAGAAAAAAAAAAATGCATTTCTACTGCTCTTATATATTCTATAAATACTCATATATAAAAATACCATGACTTTTTACAATTTATCTTAAAAATCATATAAACTGCAAAAATCTAAGCCATATTTGGTACTTTGGTTTAAAGACTTGAAACGACTTGAAGCTCAAAGCAGACGACAGAAAATCATGTGTTTGCAGAGTTTGCCTCTAAAGGTTGTGCAACAAAATATTAAGTTAAGGGTACCATCATTTTTCTTTATTTAGTTTTTTCGAATAATTCTGTTTAACCACAGGTGAAAAGCAATATTTGATTTTCATTGGCTATTTAGCAGTACATTTTTATTGATTATTGCTTTTATTAGTTTCAAATTATTTCAGTGATGATCGTCGATTTTTCTTTCATTTCCAGAGGGGTACCAACAATTTTGTCCACGACTGTACTTGAGACTCGCAAAACAAAAAACTTCCCAACTCTGCAATAAACACATTTGAATTTCTTACTTTTTAGGTTTACTATGGTCTGTATCCATTCACTGTTGCATCTGTTGCCGTGACGACAGATTAAAACGTAGGGGGATGGGTCGTACTATCTATCTGTTTCTTTACCCCGTTCACCCCCCGAGCGCAGTCACCCCACCGCCCGGGTCGTGTCTGGCCGTATTGTATTTTAACACTGCCTGCTTTTAAATTGCGTCATGTCCTCTGAGCTGTAGAAAACGTGATTCCGTAATTGAGTTTTTATTTACAAGAGAGAGCCGTAATCTTGTTGTGTCATGCTAGGATGCAAATAATCCGCGTGTTTCCCTCGCTAGCCTACAGATGTTATATGCCCCCGCTCCCTCCCTCCTCTCCTCTCCTCTCCTCTCCTCTCTCTGCGTGTCTCTCTCCATCCCTGCTCTCGATTTCTGTTTCTCTCTCTCCATCTCTCTGTCTCTCTCTCACACACATGACAGCTTTACCCCCCCTTCCTGCTTCTCTCCCCTTCTCTCTCTGTTTCTCTCTTCTTGCCCCTCTCTCTCTCACACACTCTCCCTCTTTCTCTCTCTCTCCTTCCCCGTCATCCCTCCTTCTTTCTCCCTGCTCCTCTTGCTCTCTGTCTCATCCCTCTCTCTCGCTCTCTTCCTCCCTCTCTCTCTACTTCTCTTTCTCTTCTCTCCCTGTTCCTCTTGTCCTCTCTCTCACCCCTCTCCCTCATCTCTCTCTCTCTCTCACTCTCCATCTGTCTCTCTCCTTCCCCCAACATCTTTCCTCTTTCTCTCTGCTCCTCTTGCTCTGTGTCTGACTCTCTCTCTCTTCCTCTCTCTCTCGTCCTTCCTTCCTCTCTCTCTCTCTCTCTGCTCCTCTCTTCTTTTCTCCCTGCTCCTCTTGCTCACACTCTCCCTCTTTCTCCCTGTTCCTTTCTCCATATCACTCTCTCTCCTTCCCCCACCATCCCCATTCTTCCTCTCTGCTCCTCTCTCCATCCATCCATCCATCTCTCTCTCTCCCTCTCTCCATATCTCTTTCCATATCTCTCTCTCCTTCCTTCACATCCCCCCTCTTTCTCCCTGCTCCTCTTGCTCTCTGTCTGACCCTCTCTCTCTGCATCTCCCTCTGTCGCACTCCTCATCCCTCTCTCTTCCTCCCTCTCTCTCTCTCTCTCCCTGCTCCTCTTGCCCTCTCTCTTACACTCTCCCTCTTTCTCCCTATTCCTCCCTCCATCCATCTCTCTCTCTCTCTCCCTGCTCCTCTTGCTCTCTGTCTCTCTCTCCTTTTCTCCCTGCATTTCTCTCTCCCTCTTTCTCGCTCCTCACCCCTCTCTCTACTTCTCTCTTCCTCCCTCCCTCTCTCTCTTTCTTTCTCTTCCTGCTCCTCTCTCCCTCGATCCTTGGTCTTCTTGCCCTCTCTCACACTCTTCCTCTTTCTCTCTCCTTCCCCCACCATTCCTCCCTCTTTCTCCCTGTTCCTCTCTCTGTCCATCTATCTCCCTCTCTCTCTCTCTCTCTTTCCCCCACCATCCTTTTCTCTTTCTCCCTGTTCCTTTCTCCATCCATCTCTCTCCCTCTCTCCATCTCTCTCTCTCCTTTCCCCACCACTCCTTTCTCTTTCTCCCTGCTCCTCTTGCTTTGTGTCTGTCCCTCTCTCTCTCCCTCTCTCCATCTTTTTCTCCTTCCCCCACAATCCCTCTTTATTTCTCCCTCTTTCTCTCTACATCCATCTCTCTCTCTCTCTCTCCCTCCCCCACCATGTCCCCTCTTTCTCCCTACTCCTCTTGTCTGTCCCTCTCTCTTCCTCTCTCTCTGCATCTCTCTATCCATCTCTCTCTCTGTCCTTCCCCCCACCATCTCTTCCTCTTTCTCCCTGCTCCTCTTGCTCTCTGTCTGTCCCTCTCTCTCCATCTCCTTCACTCTCTCTATGCTCCTCTTGCCCTCTCTCTCACGCTCTCCCTCTTTCTCTCTCTCTCTCTCTCCTTCCCCCACAACCTCCCCTCTTTCTCCCTGCTCCTCTTGCTCCCTGTCTGTCCCCCTGTCTCTTCATCTCCCTCTCTCTCTCCCTCTCTTTCTCCTTTCCCCCACCATCCCTTCCTCTTTCTCCCTGCTCCTCTTGCTTTCTGTCTGTCCCTCTCTCTCCATCTCCCCCTCTCTCTCCCTCTCTCTCTGCTCCTCTTGCCCTCTCTTACGCTCTCCCTCTTTCCTCTCTCCTTCTCTCCTTCCCCGACGATCTCCCCTCTTTCTCCCTTCTCCTCTTTCTCTCTCTCTCCCCGTCTCTCTCTCCTTTCCCCACCATCCCTCCTTCTTTCTCCCTGTTCCTCTCTCCATCCATCGCTCTTTCCCTCTCTCTCTCTCCTTCCCCCACCATCCCTCTTTCTTTGTCCCTGTTCCTCTCTCCATCTCCCCCTCTCTCTCCCTCTCTCTCTGCTCCTCTTGCCCTCTCTCTCACTCTCTCCCTCTTTCTCTCTCACTCTCCATCCCCCACCATCTCCCCTCTTTCTCCCTTCTCCTCTTGCTCCCTGTCTATCCCTCTCCCTCTCTCTCTCCCTCTCTCTCTCGCTCCGGTGGCTCAATCCTCGGTGCTTGCAGAGCGCGCGGGCTGCTCACTCTCTCCACACACACAGAGGCACTCCGCTGCGATGCCACGAGCGCTCCTCTTCTCCGGAGTTGAACCATGCGCCGCCGCCTGCGCCCTGCCGCTGTCACCGCTCCCGCTGCTGCCGCTGCTGCTGGAATGATCCGACTGAGAGGGGCTTTCAAGGGACTCACCTGTGGATTTGCGCCCCCACCGCCGCGATGCCTTATCTGACCAAACCTTTGATTTTGTGCGTTTTGCTGCTCTGTCTGGTCGTCACGGGAGGCTGTCGCAAACACGGCCACCGGGTGAGGAGATCATGGACCGGGAGCGTGGAGTCGCCAACACAGACCAATACTCAAACCCAAACGGTGAAACACGGCCCGTAAGTACTACAACGTTAATAAAAGTATTCTATTGTACACATATTGCTAAATTAAACCACCATATTATATTTCTGTGATGTATTTGGCTGTGCGTAATGATATAATGTTCGAAAGATTAATTTCTACACAACTGACAAAACTATTAGACTATTTTAAAGCACTTTACGCGTAGTGCCAAATGCGCCTCTGGATGTGCGTCACGAGGGAATATTTAGAAACATCAACACAATTAACGCTACAGATTAATTTTTTGGCTTTACAACCTCTTTTAGAATCAGTGTGTGATTTATTTTGGGTAGCTCCAAATGTTCCTATGTCAAATCTGCGCAAAGGTGTGGCCGGTAGACGTCTTTTGGGAGGCGGATCGCAGACAATGGACCGCGTGTGCGTTCGAGTGAGGTGCCACATGCAACAGTTGAGATCCATGCGTCTGTTCCAACTTCTGTGAGACGTTGGAGAAGTGGGAACGCAAAAAAAAAAAAAAAGGCAAAAGGCGTGGATTAAAATGGGGTGTGACATCCTATCTAATAAAGGTCACCCCAAGCGCGCGTCACAGCACTTGCACCGTCAGTGACCATCGTATCATCCGGGGACACAGCGGTGCCTTCATTGCAACTGGCTGCAATATATATGCTAAGTAGAGGAGGCAGTGGCAGCAGTTGCGCGTCTCAAGTCATTTCTGCGCCGTTTGTGGGATATTTTTGGTTTTACGCACGTCACGTTAGCAGTGTTAGTGCGTAATAAATAAAATAAATAATTAAAAAAAAACGAGGTACTTAAAACTACTTCTTCTGTTTAGCCCAAGGACACAAGACAAGTGCGCCAGAAACACGTAGCTGCCTCTGCCACACATTGACCTCTTGTGGCCGTGAGGATAATGATCGAGTCCAAAGTGCGCGCTGGAGTTGCAACGGGGAGGAACTGGAGTGAGTGAGGCGCGAGGAGGTGGCGTTGTGGAGCGTGTGAGGTTCATTGTCCTCGAGATAAAACGTTAGACCGGGTGCCAAAGTGTAGGCTATGTTTTAGATTTAATTATCCAACTTTTTTCCTCAGAATTATTAGTAGTGGAAGGTTATGAAGTGCAAGTAGTAAAGTAATGTACTTAAGCATACATTGTTGGTATCAGTACTTTACTTAAGTGCGTTTTCAAGTGGATACATTTTACTTTTACTTCATTACACCTGAGAGCAGCTATCCATACTTTCTGCTCCACTACATTTCTGCACAGAGAAGTAAAAATATTGTTTTATTGTTGTTTGAGACCTGCTGTAAAGCCTGAGGGGTTTATTTTATTATTTGAGTTTTCTTTTTTAAACACATTTGTAGTTTGAGCACACACATCTATATGCTAGGAACAAAATCACTACATTTGAAGCTCTATAAACCTCAAAATGTGTGCAAAATCTTTTACGTTTTACTTTTAAGTCCATTTTTAAACTGTTATTTTTTCTACTTTTACTTAAGTAACAAAACTACTACCACTGTAAATAAGTAAGTTTTGGTAGTTTATTATAAAACTAGAACATCGTAACCAAAATCAGGCTGCTTCATGCTGTCTTCTTCTCGTTACAAAGCATTTTATCTATTGCAAATTTGTAAGAAACTATACTATAATATGACACTTTGGGATGAGATCTGATTGGCTGTGCAACGGCGCTCCATTCGACTTCACTTTTCAATCTAAAAATGTTCTTAAACTTTGCCAGTGATCACAGAATCATACACATGAATATTAAAAGTGTACCAAAGACCAAATTACATGGATTTTGATAGTTCCTCCAGTAAGAAAATCAGCTCTTGTTTTTGGTTTATTCTTTGTATAGCTAAACTTTAACTTGTCATAATAAGGTTTTCGCGATATGTAGATCCAAAAGTCTGGATCTATCCTTGTATAATCCTGGTTTAGACCTGGTTTAGTCATAGATTATTAACTGTCTGTGGTGTATTCTTGTTTAGTTTGGCCATGACCTACAGTCTAACGCTCTTGTCTGTTCCACAAATTGGCATAGACCTGGTTGAGCCCAAGTTTTGTCATTGCTGCTTTTGCTTTTTGTCACTGTTGCTTTTGTTCATTCTACTTGTTTGAAACTTTGAGTGAAAACTGCATGAGGTTTTAATATGGAACACTTCTGTTTTAAATCTTTAAACGACAATGTCAAATTTAACACGTGGAGATGCGCTTCCGTTTGCAGTCAAGGCTGAACATGCATACTACAGCTTTGTTGAATATTGCAATGACATTAAGAGGTGCACAACCCAAATATGTCCTTGGGTGTAAAAAAAAAAAAAAAAAAAAAAAGCTTTCACAATTCATTAAAGTTGTTTTTTGAAGTTGAAGAAATTCAGAGAGTAACGGGTACCAAGTGACCAGGAGTTATTTTTGTTTTTTGGCGCGGTCAATTATTAAAAACACGAGAATTTTATAGATGTATTATTTATTTTAGCATCTTGTGTCTGGATACAAAAACCTTGAACATTCACATTTCCATATCGAACTCCGCCGAGCTCTAAGACCCCGTAGCGAAGTTCAGAAAGTTTTCAGTTTAGAGGACTATTTTGGATTCATGTTGGCGTCATGTCAGCAAATGAAAATAAAATAAAATATCTTCTTGGCATGTAGTCAAAGTTGGACAGTTATCAATGCCAGAAACGAAGAAGTCTCAGAAATATAAACTTGTAGCCTCTTAGTTGTGTCAGGATTTGGCTGCTGTAAGGTGTAACTGAACACACAAAGACGATATGATGAAAGGAAGTGAGTAGACTTTTTTCATGGTGCTTATCAACAGTAGTCTAATAATTATAGGATATGATGCCTATTTTTTTTATTTAACTTATTTAACCAGGAAAATACCTCCCACTGACATGAAAAAACAACTTTCATTCATCCAAATGACAATAAAAAGATTACAGATTAGGAAAAACAAGTGCACGTTTTTGAGGCAGTCCCTGATGCGTTCACCTTATTTATCGATAGCTTTAAAGACGCACTGTGTAACCTAGAATTTGCCTAGAATGGTCCGGTCTAAAGTGGCTTTAAAGGGACAGTGTGTCATTTTGGACATACAGTAGGATCTCATTTCCTAGTGAGCCAGAGTGTTGGAGACATGTGGAGACACTTTTTTAAATATTCCATCCAGTCCTTGTATTTGCAGAGGTCGTTGGTGCTAGGCTAGTGCATGTCAATGGCCATAGTTAGCCTGCCACTAAAAACAGTCTTATCCACTTCACAAAACACCCAAAGCAAAACAATTATAACGCCAGACTGTCAATGTGAATGTCTGTGTCGATAGAATAATTTTAGAAGTAAAACCGACCTTGCATTTGAAGGTTTTATGTCTGAGCAGCAGTGGCGGACTGATATCACCTTGCACCTATGTTACCGGCAAAGTAAAATTCCGCTGCTGCTGAGAAAATAGTTCCTCATGCGATGATTCATGTGATGCAAGTGTTGTGGATCTGGCTACAACTACAATGGGAAAAAAAAAAAGTCAGAGCGATAACTTCAGTTAAAAAATGACTTTACTGCAAAAACGTTGCCAGTGTCAAATCATTCATATTTCTGTTACAACTCGCTACATTCTATCTAACATGTTTTTTAACTGCGCAGTCTTCATTAGCTGAGGGTTTCAAAAAACAATATCCTTTGGAATACAGAGAACCATCGTCATCTATGGGTGAAATATCTGGTGCTACAACTGAAGAAAAATAATCCTTTTCTGGTTTTAAATAATAAATACATACTTTTAAAGATTAACATGTAATAACAAATGAATTAACCATTTTTTCTAAAACCTTTTTAAACTAAATATTCAACAGCAAGGTTAGTTTTATTTCAAACATTATTCTATCAACACAGACATTCACATCGACACACTGGCGTAATAATAGATTTGTTTCGGGTGTTTTGTGGAGTGGGTAAGATGGTTTTTAGTGGCAGGCTAACTATGGCCATTGACATGCACTAGCCTAGCACCAGCGACCTCTGCAAATACAAGGATTGGATGGAATATTTTAAAAAGCGTCTCCACACGTCTCCAACACTCTGGCTCCCTAGGAAATGAGGTCCTATGTCCAAAATTTCAGACTGTCCCTTTAAACTCGTATCTCTATAGAAGCAGATGATGCCGCTAGGTCAAGTTACAAGTCAGATCTGTGGACACGCAAGCCCTGCAAGAATGTAAGAATGCACGTTTTTCAAGATGTTTTAGTGCAGTTGTAATACCTGTAAGATAATAAATGCAAGATAGATAGACAAAGAATTCCAATGACAGCTCAGGTCATGACGGACGCTCCACTAGAAAAGTTAAATGGTGCACCTTTTAAAAATGAAATTGCTTGTTTTATAAATGTAAAAAAATAAAAATCCGCAGTAACCATCTTATTAATATATTGGCTTTTGGGAGCCATTTTTGTCATTTGGAAGGAGTTCATGCTATCATTGCAATTAACCTTTCCTTGAATCTCCCTCTAAGTATTCATATTGCAAAGAGTTTTTTTTTTCCAGTACATCTCCAGTGTGTTGGCGAGTTGTGTGCGCGTGTGACTTTTTCATCTTAATAAAAAGAGTAACATATTAAACCTGAAACTGAAGCAGCCTTTATTCAAGTCATGATCTCATTGGGTTTAATATGCAAGACCATGGATCCAAGCACTTTAAACCAGCTAACGCACAACACCTCCATAGTCCCCGAGCTGCCTGTCTCTGTCACACACTGATCAAAATTATATGTTTTTTCTTCTTTTTTTTTTCATACCACCGCCAGTTCTGCATGTTAAGTACGTCACGTTAAACCAATGGGAAAATGCACAGAGACTTGAGAAAAAGGAGAAATATTGCTAATGTTTGAAAATACTTTTTGACACCGTAACTTTTTTTTTTTACAAGTTTAATCACTCAAAAAAGATCTATGGTAAACTAAGATTTTAACGGAATTTTAGTGTTTCACTTTTCAAATGCTTGGTTTAGGTCGGTTTTTCAAACTTTTTTCATTTCAAGTAA